AGGCGCCGCAGCCAGGCTGGCCAAGGGCCCCCTGACCCCGCGTTCGGGCAGCCTTGGACTTTGTCTCCGCAGCGAGCCGTGCCAGGTTACATTGGGCAAGGCCAAGAATACCGAACGCGTCCCCGTCGCAACCCCACCAGCGTTAAGGAGGGTCAGCTACGGGAAAGTGCTGGTGCCCCAGCGGAGGTGGCCTCAGGGCTGCTGCAGGTGACCTGCTCCAACACGGGTGGGCAGCTCCCACGGGCAGGGGGGCGAATAATTTGGGCTTGCTCAAAAGGGGAACGAAGCCCTTCTGACGTGCGTGGTGTTGCAATGCTGTCCTTATCTGTTTGTACAAAAAGTCCGGCCACTCTGAGCTCCTCTCTGAGCCACCTGCTAAATCTGGTCTTTGCTCACATGCCCGCCTCCTTTTTTAAATGGCTGTCTCCCTTGTGGAAGCTAAAACCATCTCTCATGCCTCTGCCAAAAGGTTTCCCGGAGAGGAGCTGTCTCTTTCCCCAGCGTAACGCAGTACTGAGATAAGCCACAGCGAATAGAAAAGCTAAAAATGCAGAAAGAGCAGAAACAGGGAGCCAGAAAGGGGGCAGCGCTGCAAGGAGGGGAGAGGAAAGCACAGGCTGGCCTTTCCAAAGGGGGTCGGTCCTCGCCCTAGAGCTGGCCAAGCAGTGCCGAGGCTGGACCACAGCCCCGAGGGCTACCAGCCCGCAAGAGGTCAACCTGAGCGCTCACTGCGAGGGTAGCAGGCTCCAGCCCACGCCAGGCTGGGTCCTACCAGACAGCCTCATCTTGAGAAGAGACTTTATGGAAATGGCCCCCAGCATTTCCATGGTAACCACATCTACCTTTTCCAGAGCACAACCTGGATCCTCTCCCAGCAGAAATCGGCACAGTCTCCCTAAAGCCAGCCCACAACCAGACAGGGATCAGTGGATCTACACCGGTCTCCGAGGGTCTCATTCAGATTTGTTCAGTCGCCAACTGAAAAACATCTATTTTTTTGACAGTCGCAACCTGCCCCCAAGGACTTTGGAGCTGTTCCTGCGTGAGACAGCCACACTAGCTCTTCCCTACCCTCTTCCCTTCATCTCTTGGGCTTAGCAGCGCAAATCCTTATGAATTCATAATCAAAGCTATTCCACACCAGGGTCTCACGTAACTCTTTCCTGCTGCTTTACCAGGCACCACCGCACTCTGTGCTCACCCCAAGAAAAACAGCCGCGAGGAGAAGCTAGAAAGCCTCGCCGTCCTTGTGGGCACAGGGTGGACGTACGCACGGCTCTGTAAGGAGGTTTTTAACAGCTTGAGTTGCTGCAGTCGAGCTGGTGCCTTGCTGTGTGACGGGACGCTGACTTCACCAGAGCACACGCGTTTGCAGAGGCAGTACAGGCGTGAGCTCTAACACGCATCCCTGCGTCGGTCGTATCCCTCCCCACCCGGTATAGCAACACGACTGTCCTCTTTGGACGGTGTAGTAGAGCGATGAGCTCTCTCGCTCAGGGTCACAGAGCGAGCCAGTGCCAGGCTCCCCAGGCCGTGACTCAGGGCTCCTGACATCAGCCCTGTGATTAATCCGCAAGACGCACTGTTGTCTACACCGCTGTCCGCCCTGGGACGGCTGTAAAACCAGAGGCTGCTCCTCATTTCTCACTCAGGCGGATGAGGCAGGATTATCCACCCTGGAAAGAAGGCGTCCCTGTATTAATTGTGCCTATTGAGTCACTAACCCATCTACTGCGACCTCCAATGTGAGACACGAGATCAAGAGCCAGGCTGCTGTGCAAACCAGTTTCTGGTGACAGCTTTGCATTCCTGATTTGACAGCGCCACCTCGTGAGATGCCCCCAGCTCCTCTGTGCTGGGACAAGGGTGCTGGGACCATTTTCAGCCTAAGAGCCAGGATGGGGCCGTTCTGGAGATACCCGTGATCTTAACAGAGGTGGCTCACGAAGGGAGATCACACATGCAGGTTAAAATAGCAGGGACAAGCACGCTCCAGGGACTGCAACCGCAATGACAGAAGGAGTTTGTGGCAGTCACATAACAAAAGTGCATTTTGTTCATGGATAGACTAAGGAAGCACAATGCTCCTTAGAAAGACATGCTTCCCAAAGTCTGTCCTGCAGCTCTCCTTAGGCAAGCACAGAAGAAACGTTCATCCAAAAGAGGCCACGAGCCCTCTGCTCCATGCTTTGCACAGGCCATGAAACACTGAGCCACAGACAAGTAGGTTCACCTCTCTTCAGGGTGCCCAAAACCCTGAGGGCACTAGTAGCCCTGCAGGCAGGTGGCCACTCCAAGGCAAGCCCCAGAGGCATCAGCCCTGCTGCAGACGATGTGGGTTGGGGCACCACCATGCAGAACACAGACAGAGCCTGACCTGCTCTGGTTTTACGCACAACCAAGGCAAGGTTAGGGCTGTTGGGGGTCTCACCCCTTACCTGCTTTTTCTGATCCTCTGGTTACAGGTTGGAGAGTGGCATCTCACCAGGTTTCTTCTGATTTGGCTCCCTCCTTCGCCCTGCCAAGCGCCACTTCTTCTCCACGTAGACCTGAATTCAGCTCCACATCCAAAAGTCACACGCTAGCTCACAACGCGGCTCTGGGCACAACTCCTTACTAATATCCCCTGTGCCTCTCCAGCCTGCCACAGCATCACTGGCAGGTCTGACACCACAGCATTACAGATCAGGAGGATCAAATATCCCCCTGGAGAGCAGATTCCTCATCCA